TTCCCTCTCTCTCGCGCTGTCACTTCTACCAACACACATATCCAATCAAGATTTTATCGTAACAAGGCACCGAATGCTCACCAACCCATCGTTTTGAGGCCCTATCAACAGGACTGTCTCAACACTTGTGTGGAGGAGCTCGCGGACCGTTCTAGGAGAATAGGCGTCTCTCTTCCTACCGGCTCAGGAAAAACTGCCATCTTTCTCCATCTGCTGGAAACGTTGCCCCCGCCAGCTGCCGCGCCCAATGCCACCAGAGCGATCATCGTCGTGAGCGGCATCGAACTTGTTCAACAGACGGTGGAGCAAGCACGCAGGCTGTTTCCGCACTGGACGATCGAGATAGACCAGGGAGGAGAGAGGGCTTCAGGACTGGCGGATATGTGAGTCATACATGCATCTGGTGTTGGCTACTAGGGGGTCGTCACTCACTAGGGACATTGACAGCACCGTGGCGACCATACAATCTCTCTCTCGACCTGGCAGGTTGGACGAGCTCAACCCGCGGTTCACGAAGATAATCATCGTCGATGAGGCTCATCATGCTGCGGCTCTTTCGTAAGTAGGCAGTTGGCCGCCCGGTATAAAGCTCATCTTCGGCCCAGGTACCGGAGTGTTCTCGCACACTTCAACTCAGGTATCGATCGAGTTCGTTCCACCCGCTGGAGACTACCAAGTACCAATCATTGGATTCTCGGCAACGTTCAGCCGCTTCGACGGCCTCGCACTCGCCTCCGTGTTCGAGGATATTGTGCACCATCAAGATGTGGTAGAGCTTCAGCGCCAAGGGTGGTTCGTACAACAGTATTGCTACGCGATATGTCCACTGAAGCTGTTGGTCTATGCACAGGCTCTGCGATCTCCGCTTCACTACTGTTCAAGCGAAGATGGGCCTTGGTCAAGTTAGCGTGCACAAGCGCACCGGGGATTACCACGAAAATTCCTTGGCTCGCGTGCTCAATACTAACGCCATGATCGAACTACTTGTTCGTGCATGGAAAGAGAAGGCTTGTGAGTCATTCACGGAGTCGACTTCATAGCACTGCTTAACACTGTACATAGCGCACCGCAAGTCTACCGTGATATTCTGCGTTAACCTTGCCCATGTCGCTAATGTCACAGATGCGTTCCGTGCAGCAGGTGTAGATGCACGCGCCGTCAGTAGCCAGACTGCGACGGCCCAACGTGCCGCCCTTGTGGCGGACTTCAAGGCGGGCAAATATCCTGTCCTGGTGAACTGCAGTACGCTTCGATTTCCTGTCATGGTCCGACAATGAAGCTGAAGTGATCTCTAGGCGTCTTCACCGAAGGAACAGACATCCCAAACATTGACTGCGTAGTGATCGCTAGACCGACGCAATCTCCGAATTTGCTAAGCCAGATGGTCAGGTTGAGTCGCAACAATGATGCGCTGCTGCTTCGTACTTACGGCTTTGCAGGTAGGTCGCGGGATGCGACAATCTCGTCAAACCGGCAAGGAAGACTGCCTCGTCATCGACTTCGCGGACTCAAAATGCCACGTTGCCGGTCTACTGTCCGCACCCAAATTCTTTGGAAAGGATCCGGCTGAGCTGGACCGACGAAGGTCGCACAACCGTATGATCTGGGAGAAAGCAAAGCACGAGACAGGGGAGCGGCTTGAAGAGCTGGCCCGTGTGGGGCGCATCCCAGTCGTCGTGTATATCGATGAGGACACGCCCTTCGACGTCCCGGACCAGGCCTCCGGCGATTCGCAGCTGCGAGCTCTTAGCTGGAACAATTGGATTTACTGTGGAGAAGGTCCCGGTTTCTACCTGCTCGAGACTCCATCCGGTGGAAGGTTCAGTATCTCACCCGTCCGGAAAGATAATGGAGGTACGTTCGCCCTACTCTCGTCCAAGTTCCCTCCCTCTGCCACGCTTAAAGATATTGATTTCTGCTCACGTAGCCATCGATTATATTGCGCACTACTCCCCCTACCAACATGCGACGAAAGATATCGTGACAACCTCAACGCTTGACGAAGCTATTCAATGCTGCGACAACCTTGCTGTCCAGTATATGGGTGCCCAGTACGACGTCTTACTGCGCGCTGCACCCGGGCGCTGGGAACCTGCTTCAGACGCACGGAAGGCGTTCATCCGTGAGCGACTGCGCGAATACGCCAAGCTTCGTAAGAGGGATGGCAGGCCATTGTCTGGCAGCAGTTTGATGCAGGAAATCGATGAGATGCCGAACGGAACAGCAGAGAACATTGTCTCCCGGATTTCTCACGAGGCTCCGACTTGGAAGGTATGTCGTTGCGATTACCGCGAGTGACATCGTACTGTCCACTCACTTCTTTGCGTCAGGAGTACCACGAGAAATCACTTATGAGGCTGAGAGAGGAGAACGAGTGGTTTCAGCGGAGGTTGAACGACCACTTTGACTGGAACTATAGCGACGAGATTGAGGACCCCATGTGGGATTATGATGAGGATGAAGATGCGGATGCGGAGCACAACTTCAAAGGCCGGCGCCGTTGCTGGATTCAGTAGACGAACGAATACTTCCCTTGACGCCATGTAACTCGTGCGCATATCAGATGCTGGGGAGGGATATGGAGACGCATACGCAAAGTCAGCGACACCGAATCTTGAGGGCTAGTAATACTAGAGAATCACACTTAGACCATATGAGTCGCTGCTGGAAGCACTATGTCTCGAAGAACGCCTACCAGCTCCGCTGCCAAGTTGTAGCCCTGGTTCTCGCAGCGGGGGTCGTCTTCAAGCCCGGGAGTGACGAAAAGCCGACCTCATGGATCCGGTTCAAGCGACTGACGTTGTGGCAAGCGCGAACGCAAGTGGTTGCAGGAGAAGGTATGCGACTCGCAAGGTTGGATTTATGGTCGACCAAGGCATACATTCTCTAATTGTACATACAGGCTCTGGGGTCGGGGTTGTGAGGGAAAAAATGAGATACTACACCACGTATCGTACAAGCAGAGACATACTAGAACAGAATGCAGTCGCGAGACCGGGGAGCGTACAGAGCCGAAACGACGACATCATCACAAGCCAGGCCTGTCTACGCCCACATTGTCCACAACCTTTCGCAAGGAGTCGATCGGAGCGCCTTCGAAGCCCTTGCAATCCGTGAACCACACATCCTCCAGAGCAGACGCCTGACGTGCAGCACGGGCCGCCACGGCATCTGCGAACACCTGGAACGGGTTCTGCGGTTGCACGTACTCTCCCCAGAAGAAGCCCACGTCCCGCAAAGCGGGGAGCATGAAGCGACCGTCATGCTCTCTCATGAGCTGTGCGAAGCACGCGACAGCGCCGTTCCCGACGATCTCGGCCTGGTGCACGCGGTCCATCTTGCGCACAGCAGGAATCCACGGAGTAGCGTTGACCGGCTCGTGGGAGCAGAGGTGGAGGATCTGCACGGCGTCGAGCGCAAGTCTGCGAATGAACGCCATAATGTCCATGCGCTTCTCGGTGTTCACCAGGGTGAGCCGGGGTGTGCCAGCCTCCGGTACGTCCGGGTTGTCTCCGAGCGAGGTCCAGAACCGGGACCCCATCTCGTGCCCCTCCGCGATGGACACCGCGAGGACCGGCTTCTCAGCGGGGAACAGAGGTAGAAGGGCCTCTATGAGACCGTCTGGATCGGGCTGCACGGCGTGTGCTCCGAAGGGGTCCTGGTACACAATGCCTCCCCTGACGGGATAGTGGAGACGGATGCGCACGACGGTGGTGGTAGGGAAGGACATGTGCTTCAGGATGGCGGGGATGTAGGTCGTAGTGCCGTACACGACGAGATTCTCGAGAGTGGGGAACGCGACCTTGGGCTGGGTGGATCCGAGTCAGGGTACGCGACATCGAAGTCAGCAGCGGACAACAGGACCAGCTCGGTGAGTTGGGCGGCGACGTCCTGAAGAAGGCTAATCGGGACACTGCCCATGTGATGTTTGTCGTACCCCTTCAACTCCAGTCGCCTGAGTCCGGGGCACACGAGGTTCATGGGGAGGGGATTGTAAATGTGGGTAAGCCGAACGGATTCCAGCGAGGGCGTGTGGTCATTGAACAACATCGATCTTGGAAGAACATGGTCTGGGGCCCATGGCAAAATGTTCATCGCAAAGACACCAAGGAAGGTGAATGCCGCTGTGTTCAGAACGAAAATGTCGGAGAGGAGCGGTGCCGGAATGCGTAGCTTCGACCAGAGCGGTTCAAGGGTATTCTCCCGTTTGAGGCAGATCGAGAGGTGCGTGGTGCGTGGGATCGCCTGCTGGAGGAGCTCTGCCAGGCGTTCGGAGGTGCCTGTTGCGCCTTGGGACACGGGTCCAGCAACGAGGTAGAGATGAAGAGGTGCCTCACCGGCCCGCTCAAGGAATGCTGCAGCCGCCGCATTGACGGTAGGGTTCAGGGACTCGGCCATGAGCAGATGGTCCCACATGGAGGGGTGCGCGAGCAGCAACTCGCGCCACTCGCGACAAACATGGGAGACTGTGATCCAGCCGTAGATAGAAGAGGCGGGTCGCGTCCAGTCTATGGAGGAACGAACGTGAGCGAGAATGTCGAGCAGTGTCTCGGGTGGTATGGTGTTCATTGTCACGCCAGAGCGCCGTGTGGCAGAGGATGCTGCAAACACCAAGTGAGCAGTGGTGCAGGAGTCAGGCTCCCAATGGTGATGTATTTATGGGAAGGATCATACCGGGATCAGTGTCGAAGATCTTTATCGTTGTCCTTTGTTACTATACTCGTGGTCGAGAGGGAGAGAAGGAGGGGGTGCGGAACTCGAGAAGAGTCCGGGCTGAGAAGGCACTACACTTCAGGACATGAACTTTCACATCCCATCTCCGAGGAACCTTGTTCTGCTTGCTTCTTTGAGGTAGACCAGAGTAGCCAGCTCCGGATTGCCTTTGCATATGTCTAGTTGAGTAGCTTTCACTTGGCGGGGAAAAAACATGATCATGATGCCAAGCGCGAGTTCGTTCAACGAGGACACAGGTGCACAAAAAAGGGTTCACCAACTACAAATGATGAGAGTGGGATTCGAACCCACGCCCTTACGGACCAGATTACCTACGCCACTCAGCGTCCTTAGTCTGGCGCCTTAGACCGCTCGGCCATCTCACCATATAACGACATTCTATTTCAATCCTCTATTGTATTAGACAACTATACGTGAGCTTGCATCTCTTGAACACTCGGTGCCGGAGGTGTACATAGCGCAGACCATGAAGCTACAGAACCAACCAGTTAGTTACAGCCCATTGAGTCAGTCTCTGGGACTTACGAGGGGGAATCACATCAAGCGGAATATCCTGCACATCCTCCGCCATGACAACCGCCATGCCCGTCTCGAGGTGCCAATCGATGTGGCAATGAAGGAACCACGGACCAGGGTTGTCGGTCTGTCGAAGGGGACAAGATCATTCGCGCGTGTGCAACCTCAGCAGATCAGGAGGACTCACGGTGAACCGGATCGTAACATTGTCGCCGTCGTTTCCGATGCTGACAGTGTCGCGACGGACCGGATTGACATAGTTTGGGGTGGCCTGACCTGCGCTGCGGACAACCGAGAATGAATGCTGCGGTCGACATATGTGAGTCGAGAAACAAAGGATCTGTCATGGAACGTACACCGTGAAGATGGAACGGATGAGGGTGGCCCGGGTCGGCCAAAGGCAGCGCAGGCATGGTGATCTCGATCGACTTGTTCGGCGGGAGGTAGTAGATGCTCCCCGCAGGCATCAGATCCATAGCGCCAGGCGTGCCGGTGAGGATCTGCAGAAGAATCGTCGTGTTCGGAGAGACGTAAGAGACACCGTTCGCGTAGAAGAGCATGTCCGTCGTATTCTGCAAACAACGACAAGTCTCAGCGGCCTAGAGCAGTCCCAACCGACATGGATGTTACATACGAAGGTGAAGTTTAGGTTGATATTCACGTTCGCCCCTCCAGGGAAAGGTTCTCCGGGCTGGAGTGACAACGCTTCAGCAACCTTGCTCTAGATTCAGGACGCTCAAAGACTCACAGCCGCCGGGTCTACCAACGCGTGCAGGTTCGACTCAACCAGAGGTATCACACTTGGGGTCTGAGTCGTAGTAGGATCGGTATCCGGCGCTCCTACGTAGCGCAGGATGGCGGAGTTCAGACCTCCAGCGAACCCCGTCCCGTTGGGCAGCGCTAAGCTTGGGTTCGCTCGAATCCAATAGTTGTCGATAGGCTGCGTCGCATTGAGCTACAGGAAGAAGATCCATCAACTCATGGATAGGGAGGAGCCGTGCAAGGAGACATACAACGAATGAATAGCGCTGAGCAGCAAAGATCTGGATGAAATCGACAGTCAACGGCTCGGTGTACTCGCCGTCCGCTTCGATGATAGTCATGTTGTGGTCATCAATTGTGAAGTTGTAGTTCGGTTCGCAGGCCATGTTGATCAGGCGGAAGCGGTATCTACGATGCAATCAGCGACTGACACTTGATCGTCCATGATATTACCAGCAGCTCATACCTCTTCCCTTGCTCAACGGTGATAACTGACAGAGGCCACTCCGGGCCCCCAAGGTAGCGGCCCGCGCCGTTGATCAGCGTGGAGTCCGGAGTGCTGCAGTTGTTATAAGTTTGAGCGGCGTGCGCCCCAGATCCCCAAACTATTTGACGTACGGGAATCGGGGGCCTAGCTGCGCAGCCGTATGAAGCCAATCCGCGAGAGTGATAACGGTCGACTCTGCACGGCCATGATGAGGATTTACTGTTATATCACCGTGGGGACTACTCACCGGCGTCGACGTCGTACATGTCGAGGTACGGATCCTCAGGGTCGTATATAACGAAAGGCCCCCGCAGACCATCGCAGTACTGCGTCATGTAATGGCTATGGTACCAGAACGTGCCCGCCTGGCCGACGGCCGTGAAGTTGTACAGGAACGCGCTGTCCGGCTGGATAGGGCACTGCGTGACGAACGCGGTGCCGTCCGCCCACGCCGTCCCGTGCTGGAAGATACCATGCCAGTGCTGCCGAAGACCAGGAGGAGAGTGAGCAGGCGATGCTGGGGGGGTGAGGTAGACGGGGAATACTACGCACGACAGTGGTAGAGTTGATCATAGTTGCGTTCGTCATTTGGTCGACGACGTTGATCTGGAAGTTGTCACCCTGGGAATAGGCGGTGTTGAGCATATAAGTAGCGATGCGAGAGAGAAATAAGCAGTGGAACACTGACTTTGTTGCCACTTATCAGTGGCCCCGGAAACGTTCCGTTAGGCAGGACTGCCTGGCGGACATATCCGTCCGGGGTGGCAGCGGCGTCGAGGATAGTGAGGGCAGCGGTAGGTCCTACAGCGATGGCCTCCCCGACCATAACGGCCAAGACAGTGAGGGACGGAAGTATGTTGAAGTGCATAGTAGACGATGCGGCTGGTTGGAGAGCTGTTGTGGGTGGTACCTCAGAGGTGAAGAGTCCCCTCTCTACCTCCCTGGCCTATATACCTGCTTGCGGTCGACCAAAATATCGATCTCGCCAGCGTCCTTGCACACCGGGGGCCGCAGGAGGCGTCTGCTGCTAGTCTAGGGCCAATCGAGTCATCCAGCGCTGTCGCACAAGACCTACAGGAGACTATGTGATCTACTGCCTGCGGAACTCGACGTACCTGGCTCATTGCTGTGGCGGCCTCACAAGCCCGTGGATTCGCAGCAAGCGTACTCAGTACTCCTTGCTGCTGAAGCCCGCGCTTCAATCCTACTTGGAAGCAAGGCAGATGTGAGTACCCAAAGACCAGAGATACATCATTGGAAAACTCACGTATATAGATCACTCACTAACCAAGCCACTGAGCTGCTCACGACGGCGCTGCCCGAGACGCCCCCTCCTCCGAATATAGCACCTGAAACCACACAATGTACCCACAAGTGCGATGCGGCATCTCCGTCCCGCCTGTCCTTTACGTACGTCTGCATCCGAAGACCGTGGATCGCGCGAACGCACCATCTTTATAAAGTCTATCGAGGCATTTTGGCGGCACCCTCCGGCGCTCCTCCAGCCGGCCATGGCTAGGAATATCTCCGGCGTATCCTGGAGGACATGCAGCGGTGCAAGTTTGTTGCACGATATTTCAACAAGGGGGCCGAAATCCACGAGCTCTTCGCCGACCGGGTCTATGCATGGACCACCGTGTATGTTGTGCCCTGCATGAAGTAGTTGCATGGTCAGCGCATAAGCACCGAGGTTCCACGTTCAGTGTGGGACAACGGCTTCGCAGCTCCCATACCTGAGGAACGACTTAATATGTGAAGGTCAGAGCTGAGTGCTGTACTCATAGCTGCCTCCCAGACACCGCGGTCAGCCAGACGACAAGGATCATGAAAGCGATCAGGTCTCGCCGCTGTCCATCCCACTAGATGACCAACCAGCCGACCCACATAGCCTTGCAGCTCAGTCATGCTCACATACCAGGTCTGTCAATGGCCTTGATGGAGAATGTCACGGCGGCCGTCTGCCAAAGGGTAGGCGCAGACAGAAAAAGAACAGACACTCACCTTCCCGACCGCCGTCCGCATGTCGTATATCAGCCTTGAACCAGGTCGTCCGACTTGCCGGAGACTATGGCGTACAGAGTGGTATTACGCGGTACAGCTGGTATACAATTATAGACCAAGGAGCGGTATGCGGGTTGTCCGATCCCTACAACAGCTGACACAAAGAGTGAGTAGAATACGTTCTAGACAGAGTGGATGCAGATCGTCGCCATGCTTCTATGTTTCGCACCGTCAACCTCGACCTCGGCGCTCTAGTCCTGGTGGTCGAGCACCTCCTTCGCCCGCGCGACGTACAGCTCGAAGCGCCGCTCGAAGTCCTCGCACACCCTGCGCGCGGCGCCCTCCGATCCAGGGACGTGATCGGCGGAAACTCCGATGGAGATCCCACCCGCGTACGACATGATGCCGATGCCGATGGTGCCCGCACCCGCCTGGGGTGGGATAGCGGTCCACTTCGCTACCTCGACGTCGTGCATGGTGATAGGCTTCTTCGATGGGCCGGGAATGCTAAGAAACGGTCAGAATGTTGACACATGGTGAATGAAACGAGCGGCACTCGTACTTTGTCAGGATCGCAGCGACTGGAAATTCAGCGTTAACGATATGGTCTCGCGCAACGCTATTCTGCAGAAGTGGTACTCACATGATTGCAGACACGCGTCTGCGATGGGTTTCACCACGAACCTCCTCATCGCCTTCACCAGCGGATTGTGCTCCTTCGACTTCGGGAACCACGACAACGGGAACAAGATCGGGGCCTGGCCGGTGAGCTGCAACACGTGGAAGCAGAACTTGGGCCACCCGCTGTGCTTAAAGAGCGACAGCTCGCGGCGGCATTGATGTATGTGCTCGTGGATCTCGCGGATGGAGATGTCGCTGCTAAGTGTGCGGGCAGGCTTCAAATAGACGTTGGAGGCAGTGGAGAGGTTACGCATGGACCAGTCGCCGGGCTGGCGGATACTGATGGGGCTGTAACGAGAGGACTCAACTTGGGCGCGTCCAAAAAGAATTCGACGTCACCTACATGAAGAAGCCCACGGGCGTGGGGAGGATCTTGTTCGCCGTGCGTCGGATCTTACCCCAAGTGGTCGTCGGCGCTGGCTTCGATGCGACGATGTTCCCGAGAACATCGGCCATGATAGCGCAGACGACGTCGTTCAACGTGACATGTCCAACTTTGCTCCTGACGTTCCGACGCTGGTCCTTCGGTACGCCCGCCACAGCATAGCCAGGCCTGGGTCCAGAAAATGCCTGCTGGCAGAGTTTCACGTCCTGCAAGCTGAACGACTTCGAACTGGAGAACTCTCGGTGTGGCGTCCGTTCACGGGACTGATCTGCAGTGACCATCTCCACACGCCAGAACGTGAGGAGCACAGTAGAGACCATTCGAATCGCCTGATACGTGCTCAAGAAGAGGGAGGCGAACGTTTGGAAGAGATTCGTGAACCAGAAGAGTAGAGCCAAGAAGACATGAAGGAGCGGAGACGCTGGGTGGTCGGTGGAGTAAGGGTCAAGTGCTTTGAGCGATTTGCTGTACTCGGAGGGCAGGAGCTGACCACGCTTAGCCTTGTGGAGTTTGTCCGCCGCACCATCCATCAT